CCAGGGCCTCCCTAAAGCCCCCCTTTATTTTTTTAATTGTGTGTGTGTGTGTTTTTTTTTTTTTTTTTTTTTGGAGTTCAATTTGCCAATGGGGGAAATGCCATAGGCCTGTGTTAGAAAGCTGCCAAAGTCATTTTCCTGTTCTTAGGTTTAAATAGAAAGGTAGACTACGTATGAAGTTCTGAAGTGGAGCTGCCAGCCTGCAGCCCTGAGGAAGTACAGGGTGCTGGTCTGCTATTAGGGATCCGTGCATGATTCTCAAAATAAATTCACCAGAGAAGAAAGCAAAAGGAAAGAGAAAATTGATGCAGAATTCAGCCCAAGAGAAAAAAAGACACGAATAATGCAAATATTTCCCAGGTCCGTTCAATGTAACAAAACATGTAGGGAAAATCTTATTACCATCGCTTGTTCTGAAGATACCATCCTCGGTATGTATTCTGCAAAGCTAAAGAAAAATGTCCTGAGGCTGGTGGAGTCAAGGCTGAAGCCAAACTTGGAAAGACACCTTGGAAGTGCTCTGGTCCAACTTTGGAGGCTGGTCCTTCATGGAACGTGTCAACTTCAAGTCATTCCTCTTCATGTCAGAGGCTGAATGTTATCAGAAACTAGGTGTATCTCTTCTTTTTTTTTTAATTTTTATTTATTTATGATAGTCACAGAGAGAGAGAGAGAGGCAGAGACACAAGGCAGAGGGAGAAGCAGGCTCCATGCACCGGGAGCCCGATGTGGGATTCGATCCCGGGTCTCCAGGATCGCGCCCTGGGCCAAAGGCAGGCGCCAAACCGCTGCGCCACCCAGGGATCCCCGGTGTATCTCTTCTTAATGAGGCACATAGGTAAGTGACAAGATCATGGCATCTCTGTTTTTTTTTTTCTGATTATGGTAGCGACACATGTTCATTATAGAAAAATACAAAATGTAGTTTGTAAATTTTTTCCTCAGTGTCATCAAATATTTTTCTATCTTAAGTATTTTTTTAAATTTCATTGTAATGGCTGCATAATATTGCACTTTTAAAACCATTCTTTTATGATAAGACATTTGTTTCCTTTTTTTTTCCCTCTGTTTTAAAGTGAAACAAAACAGATGAACATAGGGGAAAGGAAAAAGAGAAGGGGTGGGGAGGCAAACCATAAGAGACTCTTAACTCGAGGAAACAAATGAGGGTCACTGGAGGGGAGGTATTGGGGGGATGGGGTAACTGGGTGAAGGGCATTAAGGAGGACATGTGATATAATGAGCACTGGGTGTTGTATGTAAGTGATGAATCACTAAATTCTACCTCTGAAATTAATATTACACTATATGTTAACTAAAATTTACTTAAAAACTTTAAATATTTTTAAAAATATTTTTTTAAAGTGAGTATGGTGAACATTCAGATTTCTGAGTTGCTGGGTCAAGGAGAAAGTCACTTTATTTATTAAAACATGCAGTTGAGGGTCTCATGACACCATGCTGCTGTTTTCCATGCCAGCACATGGTGCCTTTGTAGAGAAAATAAAACTGTGAAAAGTATTTGTTTGGAATTGAAAGAGTAAAATTAAAAAGCCAAGATTTGACGTTTGGGTTTTGCTACTACTGTGGCCCACGCTGACAGCCTGGGGCACATCCCTTTGACTCTATTGGCCACACCTAAATTAACAATTTTTTTAAAGATTTTATTTATTTATTCATTCATGAGAGACACAGAGAGACACATGAGAGAGAAACAGAGACACAGGCAGAGGGAGAAGCAGGCTCCATGCAGGGAGCCTGACATGGGACTTGTTCCCAGGTCCCCAGGATCAGGCCCTAGGCTAAAGGTGATGCTAAACCACTGAGCCACCCAGGCTGCCCCTAAATTAACAATTTTTAAACAATTTAAGGTTATACAGAGAGAAAGCAATATGCTAAGTTTTTTCTCTTCTTCTATGGAATAATTTTTTTTTTCCAAATTCTCTGTTCTTGTGTAAGAGAAAGTATGGCAGTCATACAGATGGGAAACTGCTGCCAGCTGCTCATTCGCAGGGGTTTGCCTCTGGGACCCTGGCCTGCACTGCAGTGTTTTGCCTGTGGTGAGAGTCCAGCAGATGTCCACCAATCCAAGAGCAGGTGGAAGGGAGGTTTAAATGTAAAGACATCAGGCTTCAGGGCTTCTTCTGTGTTTCTCCCATTATACAAATCATAGTTCAAATCACCAAGATGTAAGCAGTATACACTGGCATCAAAATCCCATGCTCAGAAATACATCCAGAGCCCCAGAACTGCCATTTCCTAAATGAAGTGTCTAAACAGGACCCGAGAAGTCTCCGCACCTGCAAAGCGGGTGGTGGGGAGTACCAGACTACCTATGTCTCAGAGCTGTCCTGAGACTCAACATAAAAATGAAACTATATATGTGGTTTAAATAAACCCTAAAACTCAAATAATTGCATTAAGTAAAGTATCAAATAAATTAACCATTAAATAAACTCCAAAAGTCAAGTAATCACAAACCACTATTATTGCCTAATCCAAAGAGCTGGAATGCATCGGGGATAAATGCAAAGACCGTAGAGCCTATCTCCATGGTGTTATTCAACTTTACAGGTTACTTATGATGATCAATACAGTAAAGAATCTAGAGATTTCCAAGTGTACTTGGCCCCAGAACTTTCAATTCACATTATATCTATTAACATCCACATATTAGAAATCATGGGTTTTGTGGTTTGATTTCACATAGAATGTAAGGTGTACGAAGGGTACACTTTGTCTTGTACCCTACTGTATCTTCAGGCCATAGAAGAGCTGCCTGCACATAATAGGTACTCAGTAAATTTATATTCGTTGCATAATGGATATACTTTCCATTAAGCTAATTTGAAAATAGCCTCTGAAAATAGTATGCATAGTTACGTGAAACATGGGTTTATATGCTCTGCTAGTGAAAGTGTAAATAGGTTTAATCTTTTAAAAAGCAGCCTAACTTCATGCAGCAAGAGCTTCTAAAGTATATGCCCTCTCACTAAGTTGTGTTGCTTCTGGGAATCTATTTGGATGTTATTCTAAGTATGAAAAAAAAAAGTTTGTATTTAAGATGCTCAGGAGATGCAGTATTGTTTAAAATGGGAAAAAAAAAACCCACCTGGAAACCATCTGAATTATGTTCAGATGAATAATTAAGATACAGAATATTCACTTGATGGGTTATTCTGCAGCCATTAATATGCTTATGAAAATTACAGAACTTCGAAATATTCCTATATTATATTGTAAGCACGCATTCATAAATCACATATAATTTCTTTTTTTTTCTCTTGTATTAAGGAGAAAGGCAAGAAACTAAATTGTATATAAATTATAATCCATATATGTAACAAAAACAAATGCAAAATAAGGAACTAACACTGAGTGCCACTGTGCCAGGCAATCGCTCTAAACACTTCATATACATATAATGTCTTTATTTTCCTAATAATCTATAAGGCAGGTATTATTATAATACCCATTATAATACTGAAAAAAACTGCTCAAATACTGACACTCAAATATTGACAACAGCTGCCTCTGAGTGATGAAAAAGACAGTAATTATATTCCCTGCACTTTTCTGCATTCTTACAAGTTTTATGTATGGGGAGAAAACTGCTCTTTAGAAGGGTAAACAAAAAAAAAAAAGAAGGGTAAACTAATGAATATTAATCTGTGTTCCTGTAACCGATCTGAACAGGAAAAAAAACTTAATTGACCGCAGGACCCCTTAATTTCAACCAGGGAACTCCGACCCACCCGTGCTCTGCTCGCCAGTTCTCTACTGTACAGAAGAGGAGAATAAGAGTAAGCTCCATTTAGGGTGAAATAGGCTGAAAATCGCTTGTTTTTGTGAATGCAGAGAAACCGGCCAAGGCTAGTGTTCGGTTTTCAGTTTCAATGTCACACTTGCTCAAACCCCAAGATAACCTCGGATAACCACTGTGCTCTACCCAGAATCAAGAATTCAGGCACCGGGAACCTCATATCCCCTCACAGACCAACGAGTTGGTGGTGAGATGGGAAGGTGGGGGGTGGAGGGGGTTGAGGGGTGGAAGGGGTGGAGGTAGGAGCTGTCACTGCCCAGGCAGGCACTGAGCAGGAAGAGTTGCAGCTGGAGCCCTACAGCTCCTTTCCTTTTATGCAGAGGGAAGAACTGAGCTTGATACATCCTTTGGACGCGGTGGAAAGAAGGGATAAAAGATCCTAATGATGCTAGTCATCAACGAGAAATGGGACATATGCGGGGGGGGGGGGGGGGGAGTACCAGGCTACCTACGTCTCAGAGCTGTCCTGAGACTCAACATAAAAAATGAAACTATATATGTGGTTTAAATAAACCCTAAAACTCAAATAATTGCATTAAGTAAACTATCAAATAAATCAACCATTGAATAAACCCCAAAAACTCAAGTAATCACAAACCACTATTACGGCCATATCCAAGGAGCTGGAGTGCATTGGGGAATAAATGCAACTTGTTTATCTGTTTATCTAATGAAAATACTTATCTAATTCATTTATCTAAATGGAAATTTACAATGGAAATATTTATCTAATTTATCTAAATGGAAATGAATTTATTTTAAGGTTTTATTTATTTATTCATAGACACAGAGAGAGAGGCAGAGGCAGAAGCAGGCACCGTGCAGGGAGCCCGACGTGGGACTCGATTCCGGGTCTCCAGGATCACACCCCAGGCTGCAGGCGGCGCCAAACCGCTGCGCCACCGGGGCTGTCCCTAAATGGAAATTGAAAATGGAAATATTTATCTAATTTATCTATTTGTCTAGATGGAAATCTGAAAACGAGGGACAACAAATCCACCGTACAGTAAGGATTACGTGGTAACAAGGATTTCAACTTAAGGCGCTGTCCGAGCTCGCTAGCTCAGCGGGGCCAACTCTTAACACTTGTTTCTAAGAACCACAACTCCCAGCCTAACGGCGACCCCTGCGCATGCGGCCTGACCGCCTGAGCCTACATTTCCCAGAGGGCCGAGCGGCTACGCTGACGCACGCGTGCGCCCTTGAGTCTCTCTGACGCGGGTTTGACCTACAGCCCCCCGGAGAAGATGGCCGCCCCAGCGGTGTCCGGGCTGTCCCGGCAGGTGAGAGAGAACGGAGGTCCTGAAAACTAGCGAGAGGATCCCTCTTAGGGCGGAATGTGCCAGAGCCCTAGGAGCCGCGGGGCGAGGCCGCAGCTGGGGAAGCGTGGCCGCCGTCGGCGTCGTGGGGCCCGGCGAGTGGGGGCGAGCGGCCCTGCCGGCGCCCTGCGGGCGGGGGGCGCAGGGGGACGCGCGCCTGACCTTGGGGACCCCGGAGCACAGCCTCGGGACGCCGCTGAGCTTGAGGAGCAACGCGGGGGCAGGGGGCCTCCCCCGGACGCCGAGGAAAGGGCACGCCCCACGCCTCCAGTCCTTTAACTTTGTTGTTGTGCCTAAACCTCTCTCCTGGGGCCCACCAGTAACGCTTCAGGATTATTTGCAAAGCCCATTTTTCACCTTTGTGCAAAGAGAAAGAGACGGAAGCGTTTAAGTGGCTCGGCCGTGGCCGCCCAGCCAGTAAGGGGTGCACAGAGCTGAGACTCGAGCCCGCAGAGTCACACGGAAGATGGAGTCGGAAGGGAAAGCCGTGCTGCTTGTGCTGCATGGCAGGCAGCACGGTGCATGTCACGACGCCTCGCCGCTTGGCTCAGTGTTCATGCATGATGAAGTATTTGGATCCCCGCAGCCAGTTTTGGTGTAATAACGCTGCGGATTTGAGATACTATGTTAAGGTGACCTGTGCCCTTGCAGATGCTATTTAAACGAGCTCCAGCTCGGTTCCTTGGGAGACCAGATCCCGTGTCTGAGAACTAGGGCTTGGGCTCACGTCAGACGGCTGCAATGCTCAGAGGATCAGTCTCCGTTTTCTTTTTCCTATAGCATTTGGTTTCTAAGAAGGTATATCTCTTGCACATCACGACTGGAAGCCTCCCCCCCCCTTTTTTTTTAACTAAAATCCTTCCTCACGGGTGGAAATATAAATGCAAATAATAATAATAATACATGGGGGGTAATATAAATGCAAATAATCATCATCATCTTGGGGTTTTTTTGAAAATCATAATCATCATCATCTTGGGATTTTTTGAAAACTGTATTTCAACCAAATTTGAGTTCTCTCTTACACTGATGTGTGCTAGCCTCAGCCTGTTTCTAGCAAAACTGGGGAGTTGGTGGGAAAGCCTATTTCCCAGGCAACTAGGGATGAATCTCAAAGGGGGGGCGGGGAGGATTTACCCCTAGGTGATAAACAGCAGCTCATGGTAATCTGTGTGATGATACTCGGAAACTAATCGTTTGAAATGTTTTATTACTGTTTTAAAGGTGCGGTGCTTTAGCACGTCTGTGGTCAGGCCGTTTTCCAAGCTCGTGAGGGTATGTCAGCTTTTGTAATTAATTGTGGAGTAGATGAACGTGTGTGAGTCCAACGGCAATACAGTTAGGGCATAGACGTTTGTATAAGTGCCACCTAAACCTTTCTGCGTGATCTGTGGTTTCCAAAAGGTGATGTGTGCATGAGGGCAGGGAATGGAATACGTTGAATGTGGGGTGTGCGGCAGGCCCTTGCATAACGTTTATGAGAATTTCCTTTTTTTTTTTAAAAGATTTTATTTATTTATTCATGATAGTCACACACAGAGAGAGAGGCAGAGACACAGGCAGAGGGAGAAGCAGGCTCCACGCGGGGAGCCCGACGTGGGATTCGATCCCGGGTCTCCAGGATCGCGCCCTGCGCCAAAGGCAGGCACTAAACCGCTGCGCCACCCAGGGATCCCTTTTTTTTTTTTTTTTAAAGATTGTATTTATTTATTCATGAGACACAGAAAGAGAGGCAGAGACACAGGCAGAGGGAGAAGCAGGCTCCCTGTGGGGAGCCTGATGCAGGACTGGACTCTATCCCAGGACCTGAGCCAAAGGTGGATGCTCTACCGCTGAGCCATCCATGCATTCCTCTGAGAACTTCTCAAAACCCCATTACAGTGCTGGAAAGTAGCTGGCCTTTCCATTTACAAAAGCGGAAGCCGACTCTGGAAAACTTGCCCAGTGTTACTCAGCCTGGTCTTAGAGCTGGACTAAATCTTTCTTATTCCAGGCCTTAGCTTTCCCACTATGACCGTATAGCACCACCAAGCATGTTGTAGTCATATATAGGAAAAAGCCTGTAGTTTTTTTTGAAAAATAATTCAAGGACCAGGCACTTACTTAAGTTGTTAGAGCTCTGTTAAACTGAACATTGATGAGAAGGCACTGTAAGGGATTTTTTTTTTTTTTTTTTTTTTTTTTTTTAAGATTTCATTTATGGGATGCCTGGGTGCCTCAGCGATTGAGCGTCTGCCTGTGGCTCAGGGCTTGATCCTGGGGTCCAGGGATCGAGTCCCATATCGGGCTCTCTTTGGGGAACCTCCTTGTCTCTCTGTCTCTTATCAATAAATAAATATTTTTCTAAAGATTTTATTTGAAACAGAGGACATGCATGAGCAGAGGGTGGGTGGTGGAGGGGGAGAAGCAGAGTCCCTACTGAGCAGAGAGCCATATGACATGGGTCTCATCATGACCTGAGCCAAGGGCAGACACTAAACTGCCTGAACCACCCAGGCACCCCAGGAGTAATTTATAATGTTACTGTGAAATGTATAAAGATATACTTGTGTATGTTTCATTAATACCTGTTTTCTTGGCTCTAACGTGCAAAACTGCCTTCTATCAGTGTTTAAAATCTCCAGTACTTGGAACTGATTAATTACTGAGTTCAAAGGAAGCATGAGTTCATCTCAGAATTAAGGTAATTGACTTATAGTTAGAGCTGAAAGGGACACCCTGTGTCCTCAGCACTTTTAAGATGAAAAATTGGAAGTTCAAAGATTGACCTGGCCATGGAAACAGCTCTGGTTTATTGGAGAATTGCCATTCAAAATAGCTCTTCGATGACATCTTTAAAGTGTTGTGTGCTATAAATGATGTCATTTTTTTAATACAAATGTTTAATCCTTCTGTTGGCAGTATGATATTGTCTTAACTGATTTTCCTTTCCTCTTCCTTCTCTACTCCATCCTTTTTTTAAAGCCACCTGTTCAAATATATGGTATCGAAGGTCGCTATGCCACTGCTCTTTATTCTGCTGCATCGAAACAGAATAAACTGGAACAAGTAGAAAAGGAATTGTTGAGAGTAGCAGTAAGTAGTTTTTTGTTCATTACTTGTTTTGGTTATTTGGCCGTGTAGCCCTAATGAGGTATATCCTGAGAGAAAATGAACTATAAAAAAAGAAAAAAATCATGTTGATAGTGATAGTAGTGGGTATTAATATTTTGAACCTATTGTGTGATAGGTACAGGCAGATACATATCAGGATATTAATATTAGGAACCAAGACTTGGGGCTTAGAGGAGAAATAGAAGTCACCTTTGAAAATCTGTGTTTCTATTTCAGGTATTTTCAAAATAGTTTTAGAATGTATTATAACATGCTTTACTAGGAATTTCTTTTCCTTTTGAAGCCTTTCCTCAGTTTCAATTTTTATTTTATTCCCAAGAGGTGAGAGGAAAATGACCAAGCAGAGCATGCTGGGCAGCAAAATTAGGAAAGTCATATGGGCTCTGTAATGATAATAGACAACTGATAAAGATCATGAAGCTTACAAGGGAGTCCATTTTAACATTTTTTTAACATAAAAAGAGTAAATTAATTGAATTAACAGAAGTCTACTATGTAACTTAAAGAGGAGAATCTGCTGTAATTTTAACTCCATTTTCTAGTTAACAGGTTCCTGCCCATTTTGTTTACAGCAGAAATTCTCTCTTTTTTTTTTCCCAGAGATTTTATTTATTCATGAGAGACACAGAGAGAGAGGCAGAGATACAGGCAGAGGGAGAAGCAGGCTCCACGCAGAAGCCTGATGTGGGACTTAATCCTAGGACTTAGGGATCACACCCTGAGCCGAAGGCAGACGCTCAACCATTGAGCCACCCAGGCATCCTGAAATTCTCCTCTTTGAGTTCTAGATTGAAGGTGGAGAGTCTATACCCTCTCCCAGGAAACTTTTGCTCTTTTTTGGTTTTATGCTTTCAGAAGTTCTTGTATTTTTAATCCACTTATTTCTAAAGATTTTTTTATCTTACTGTTCAGAAGAGAAAACCCTCACAGGCTAGTCATATAGGATGATACTTACATATTTTGTTCGTTTTTCATTGTAAGCTTTTTTATCAGAACTTTTGTCCTAGTGGATAACATTAGCTCTGTATTCTTTTATGTCTGCAGATGATGCTTGCGGTCTTAGTTGGCATGATCCACACAGAGCAAGCAGCCTCACTGTCAGAGCCACTCAGGAGAAGGGGTAGCAAGAGCAGGCAGGCTCACACACAGCTCTTTTGTTTTGTTTTGTTTTTTAATTTTTTTTTTAATTTTTATTTATTTATGATAGTCACACACAGACAGAGAGAGAGAGAGGCAGAGACACAGGCAGAGGGAGAAGCAGGCTCCATGCACCGGGAGCCTGACGTGGGATTCGATCCCGGGTCTCCAGGATCGCGCCTTGGGCCAAAGGCAGGCGCTAAACCGCTGGGCCACCCAGGGATCCCACACACAGCTCTTTTGGAGCTGATACTTACTGCCCGCTCTTGTCATTTATGCCCATTGTAAACATGAACAGCACTGTTCACAGTAGGGAGCGTGACCTGGGTTGTGGTTCTTAGAATGGGGTTTGACTAAAACCTGGAAATCAGTTAAGATACAGAGATATAGAAAGGAAGCAATTACCTGAAGTCTCTATAAAAAATTAGCAGTTTTTTAGAACTGAGAGGAAAGTGTTATGCTACACAGATGCCACTACAAAGCTTTCCACTGGATGATGGAGCAGAAAAAAACTAGAAACATGAAATACTGGATTCCCCAAACACCAGAATGCTTTTAATTTGTGTAAGTCAGCAATTTTTAAGGGAAAGTGTTGTTTTTATGGAGTCACTTAAATTGAAATTTTAGCCCTAGATGCTAGTATGTGACAAGTAGCCTGGATTAGACTCACAGTTCTGGCCAGGAGCCTGAGAAAAGGGGCTGCCAGGGGTATTGAATTGAATGAAAGGTGCCCAAATAGAAACAGCCATTGGTTCATTGAACTCTGGCCTGATACAGAGGGGAACAGGGTACCAGAAGCTACCTTGGGTCACTGAAAACAGACATTTATGAATTAACAAAATACAGACCCTCGCTGTCACTCCTGGTAGCCAACTCCCGTCCCAGAGTGGCTGAGGCTTCTCTGGAAACACCAGAGGTCTCTCACGGGGCCCTGTAAGAGGCAGGGCAGGGGCAGGACCAGGCTGAGACATAGAGGCCCCCTCCCAGGGCATGACAAGGAGGCCTCCTTTGCCATCAGAGCACCTTTTTAGGTCTGCACATGAGTGTTGGCATCACTAGCCTTCTCGTAGTTTGTGAAAATATAGAGGATTACCCATATTAAATATGTTAACAATATGCAGTTAATTGACTCTTTTGGCTGCTTAGTTTTTTAATGATCTCTTGAAAAGCAAAAATAGATTTAAGAAACCTTATAAAGTGTTTTTAAATTTTTTCAAGAAATATATAAGATAAAGGTAGAAAGTATTCTCAAAGGCAATGAAAAGTACTTGATTGTAAACTTCTCTTCATAAGTGCTTGAGTGCTAATTAACAAAATACATGATTCATGCGAAAGAAGTATGTTGTGGCAGCTAGGATCATTTATGCTTTAAGGAGTTTACGAAATTATTTTTTGGTACTTTCAGCAAATCTTGAAGGAACCTAAAATGGCTGCTTCTATTATGAATCCCTACGTAAAGCGTTCCGTGAAAGTGAAAAGCCTAAATGACATGACAGCAAAAGAGAGGTTCTCTCCTATCACATCCAACCTGATCAGTAAGTATTAGACCTTTTCCACTGAAGCTGCTGGAAATCTTGCTGTTGGAAATGTCCAAGGATCAGGAGCATCAGCATCACCTGCCTTTTGGCAGTGAAGCGTCTCAGGACTTAGCCAACCTGCTAAGTCGGAATCTTCATCTTAACTAGCTCCCCAAGTGAAGTATTTGTGCATTAAAGCTTGAGGAGCACTGTCTGAAGGATGTTAGGATGTAAGAAGATAATTGCAGTCAGTACTTTCACCCTACGGAGAAGACCAGTGGGATCCATACCCAGAAAATGGTTTGCAGCCAGGGCTATACCTCTGTCCTTGAAGACAGGTGGATTCTTTGGTGCATTTGGCTTGACTTTGAAGTCCTGTGGTCAACCAGAATACGGGCTCCAAAGCAAACCGTCTTTGAATATAGATATATGTTAATTTGGGGATTTGTAGCCAAACACTGGAATCTAACCAGAAATAGGAGAATCAAACCGCAGGCTGCGATGAAGATGCCTGTTGCAGATCTCTGAGACCTCCCCCTACACCCGCTTTACTGATTTAAATGCCTGTCAGTGCTGGTTCTTTTAAACATTGGATATACTTTCCTTTTTTTTTTTTTTTTTTTTTTAAGATTCTATTTATTTATTCATGAAACAGAGAGGCAGAGACACAGGCAGAGGGAGAGGCAGGCCCCATGCAGGGAGCCCAATGCGGAACTCGATCCCAGGTCTCCAGGATCACGCCCTGGGCTGAAGGCAGGAGCCAAACCACTGAGCCACCCGGGCTGCCCTGGATATACTTTTTAAACAACAAGTTGTATCTCCTTTGTATTCACATTCTTTTTTTTTTTTAAGATTTTATTTATTTGTTCATGAGAGAGAGAGGGGCAGAGACACAGGCAAAGGGAGAAGCAGGTTCCATGCAAGGAGCCCGATGTGGGACTCGATCCCAGGGCTCCAGGATCACTCCCTGGGCCGAAGGCAGGCACTCAACCGCTGAGCCACCCAGGCGTCCTGTTTATTCACATTTTAAAAAGATATTGAATATAGTATTTTTAAGGCCACAAATCTAAATTTGCTTTAGAGGTGAATATAATACCTTATGGATAACCTGTTTTGAGTGAGTTTCATGGTCCTGAGACGCCTTCACTTCCCCAGATTTGCTTGCTGAGAACGGTCGCTTGAACAATACCCCTGGAGTCATTTCTGCCTTTTCCACCATGATGAGTGTGCACCGTGGAGAAGTGCCGTGCACAGTGACCACCGCGTCTGTAAGTGACCACTTGTTGCCACTATATTTACTTTGATACTCCATGCATCACATTTTGTGTAGCGAAAAGAAAAAAAAACAGGCTGAAATCCAGAAATTGATAACAGTGGCTTGCCACTTAGGAGGTTTGCTTCAGTCTTTACACAGTTCGACTCTGGGAGGTACCTTCTTGGTGTCCCCCTAACCAGTGACAAATCAGAAGGGCCAGACCGGGTTAAGATGTGTTAGGGAGTAGTGGTTTATGTTCCTTTACAGGTTTGAGTTACTTTGTAAAGATCTTACTAAGTAGGCTCCTGGCAGAGTGTCTAATCTTTGGTGGTGGAGGACAGGGCACACAGGCCCCTTGATCTTGTTGCATTGCGGAAGTGGGCTGTAATGATGGACACTGCTTTTTTGAAACCTGTATGCCAGGTACTTTGTAATTCATTATTTTATTTAACATCAGGATTCCATGGGAGGTAGAATTATCCTTATTTTATAGATGAGGAAACTAAGTTGCTTGCCCAGAGTGACAAAACATGGAATCAGAAGTGCATGTTCCTTAAGAATTAATTTTGTTAATGTCCTAATTACGTGGTTCCTTCCTACTCCAGTTGAGACGGTCCAGGAGAACGGCCTTTGGGGCTTAATTATCAGGGGGTGGTAGATGTGCTTGGTATATGCAGCTCCTGACCTCGTCCAGATTAGTATTTTCTGGTGTTTACAAGATACTCTGACTCCAAGAGACCACAATTACAAAGAGACATTTTAACACATAACAACATATTTGCACGTTTGTAGCTTAGTAGCTGGTCCCAGGAAGCACATAAGCAGCCGAGAACCATCAGAGCTCAGTCGTTCATCCAAGCGCAGTGGGAGCGCAGCCATTCTCCTGGATGGGAGGGCCCGGGCAAGGCTTCACCCGGCAGTGGCCGCACCATCCCAGAGGCCAGGCCCCGCTCCACGTCATTCAGAGATCATGAGGACATGTTTTTTTTTAAATGGTGCCAATTTTTGTGAAGGTTTTTTAGAAGCAACCGTTGCTAATGCTTTTGATGTTGAAGCTCCTGGGTAAATAAGTTTCCACTGTTTAAAACAAAACAAAAATGTATTATTTGATTAATGACTAAGGGCACAGACTATAGAAATACACTGTTTGTGAATATTGGAGCAAATGGGACCTTAGGTGGGTTTCTTAACTGCTCTGAACATTAGTTCTCTCGTATGAAAAATGGACATAAGAACTGCCTGCTGCCCAGTCATCTAGATTAAAGGAGATGGTGGCTGTGAAGTGCCCGGCACTTAGTAGGTGTCTACATGGAAAGTGTGCACGTACTTCAGAGTTCTCTAACCTCAGAAGCTCAGCAAATAGTGTTTTGATCAAACACTGGTAGACTTGGGGTGCCTGGGTGTTTCCATCGATTAAGCATCCAACTCTTGATTTCAGCTCTGGTCATGATCTCAGGGTCATGGGATTGAGCCCCCGCCTCAGTCAGGCTCCACATTAAGCAGGAGTCTGCTTGTCCCTCTCCTTTTGCTCCTCCCCCTGCCTGTTCTCTCTCAAATAAATAAAATCTTAAAAAATAAAACATTTATACACTTTCACAGCACCCCTCGTGTGCCCCCAAGAAGCACTGTTAGATCTTTGCAAAGATGGAAAGCTTTTCTGCTAGCTTTTGGACTCCTGAATGTGGGGCTGGGGAGCTAGGATTTGTGACAGGTTGGAGGCCTCTCCTTCAGCCTTATGTGTTCTCCCCTCACCAAGAATGAGACTGGGTCACGAGGGGAGAACACAGGCTGGAAGTCCAGTGCTTGCTCGGTCAGAGTAGAGTACAGAGCTGTGCCTCCAGAGCTCCTGCCAGCCCTGAGTCTTAAAGATTGTAGGACTGGGTTAAACTGCAGCTTTCCATCCGGGGAAGTAGCCCGTCCCATGCCCACAGGGCTGCCCGGAGAAGCAGTCTGTGTCATCAGGCATCACTGACTTCAGGTTTCCCCTTACTCATGTCTGTGGTACCGCTCGTACCGGGGAGCAGAGACACGGAGGCAAGTGGCACTTCCAGCCATAAGTGAGCCGCCCAGTGTGCGCTCGGAGTTGTTCTTGTGGGGCAGTGCCTTGACTTGCTCCCCAAACAGCAGGGGTGAGTGGCTGCTGCCGGGCAGCTCCAGGATGGCTCCCCAGTGACCCCACACAGGCACTCATGAGGCCTGTCATCGTCGTGACAGGTGCCAGGGATGTTTCTTCCTTTTCTTTTACTATGGAAAGTGTCTGCTATGCCTTATCTAAGTTTAAAGGATGATTTTGTCCTTTTCTAGCCTTTGGATGAAGCCACTCTTACTGAACTAAAAACGGTCCTGAAGAGCTTCCTAAGCAAAGGCCAAATATTGAAATTGGAAGTTAAGGTGGGTCTCTATGTCTGATGTGCCTCCCCAGCTCGTTTGACACCGTCGAATGGCTGGAGGAAGTGAAAAATTAAACCTGATGACATACTACATTGCTTATAATAGAAATTTTATATTTTCAACTTAAATGATTATGGACTCCGTTCACAATTTGACTTCCGCTTTTCTCTAGATGGTGATTATAACACCTTACTTTGTGCAACATGCAGACTTTTCAAAGCTTTTCATCTTTCTGTTTGATCAATGAAATGCCAACACTTTTTCACATTTCCAACCTATTTTCTTTCCTAGGTTGATCCGTCAATCATGGGGGGAATGATTGTCCGTATTGGAGAGAAATATGCTGATATGTCTGCAAGAACCAAGATTCAGAAGCTGAGCAGGGCCATGCGGGAGGTTTTCTGAAAGTATTGATTATCTGTCCGTGAAAACTAAAACTTGGAGCAATAATAAAGTGCTTCCTGAACAGAATGTCCCGTTTATCTTTTTTGAAGTGGAAATACGGGGAGCCTTAGTTTATATCTTTCCTTCAGAATCCCCCTAGTTGGAAGGTTAAAAGGCCCACTGGTTGGAGATTTTAGTTTGTGTAGATTATTCTTAGGAATTTATGGAAGCTTGTGATATTAGGAAAAACATCTAATGTCTATTGAGGCCTTCTGTGCCAGGCACAATTAGGTCCTTAACCTATTGTGTCTTACCTTTCCGGTCCTTGGCCTCCGAGCCCGGACCTGGGGAGCTGACCTGCAAGTGAAGTTAAGACCCCAGCAAACCAGGCCAGTTACCATCCTGGAGTTTCCGCGGTTAGTGCCCATGTCCCGCAACAATACTGCAAGTGGTCCTCCGAGCCCCCAGAATCTGTGCCGACCAGGGCTTTGGCAGCTGCCCCGTGCTCTCCTTCCTGCTTCTTTCCTTTTCTCCCGTGTGTGGACCAACGCCTGTTGCTGTGTCCTCAGGTCCCACATCTGCCAGGTGGATGGGGTCTGTATAGGGCACTTCACACAGAGCCAGCTGGTGCTCATCTGATTATTCTAACAAGTATTTAACTCTTGTGCATCTCCTTTTGACCCCAGAGTGATTTGTCTGTGAGACACGGTGTTCTATTAAATGTAAAGGCACTAGTGCTTTCTGTAAAAGTTCTTAGATTCTGGCCAAAAAGACGTCTTCATTCTAGAATCTACTGGAAGAATGCCATTAATGCGCTAACAGGTATTCATTCCCTCAATCCCACTGAGGGCAGAGGGCCAGAGGAGGGCTGTGCACTCCACCCGAGAAGCCAGCAGAATAGCGATCCTAACCCCTGTGAATGTCCTCAACCAAGGCCTAGCCCGGAGTTTCAGCCCAGAGTAGGAAATCGGGACGTTCTTCCCCCTGGAAGCAGCTGTTCAGTGATGGCGACCCTGGTCACTGAAGTCTCAGCTCAAGCTAAACTTGCCTGTTGGTCTTGCCGATTCTCAAAGGCCTTTCCAGCCAACCAGCAGGCGGGGTGACGGGTGTTAGCAGAGTCCCGTTTTCACAGGCTGGGACCAGACCCAAAGGCAGCAACACTTCTGCTTCTCTGATGATCATAGGTAACCCGAAAGGGTTGCCCCAAGGGGTTCCTCCGAGACTTACCTGTTCATATGCAGCCATCACACTTCGGGTTGTGAAGTGTGTCCTGACTAGAACCTGTCGAGTACCAGGAACAGGCCAGGCACAGCGATTTTCACTGCCTACCCCACCAGAAAGTTCTATAAAGGAGGAGATATAGGACACCATGTACAGTGAGGCTCATGATGTAGACTTTGGCTGCTCTGTGCCCTGGGACAGTAGCCTGGTGGTCAGGGACGTATCCGGGCCACCCAGGGCGTGTGCATGCAAGCCTGCTCTGCTGCTTCCAAGCTACGGGCCACCCCAGCCTCTCCAAGGCTTGGTTTCCAACCCGTAGGTGGCAGCGATCACGCCCACTTCCAGGGTAGCTGCAAGACGGAAGCAGAACTATGAAGAGTTTAGTAGAAGGCCTCAGAGATGGAAAGATGTCAGTAAATGCTAATCCTGGCTCCAGGACTTACTTCCCTGGGTCATCTGACCCTGAAGATGAGTTGACTGCACACAGCACTCACCTGACACGTGGTCACAAGACAAAGTCCACCTGGTACTGCTGTGAAGGTGTCGTGTCCTCAAGGGCTTGTCCAGAGCTCCTGGTTCCTAACGGATCATTAGGATGACTCCCACTCCATCGGTCCTCCAGGGCGGCCTCTCCCTAGAAAAATACCCTTGACCCTGGCATAACCGCCCACCCTCCTCCCCTGCCCCATATAGGCTGCAGCTCTCGAAGCCACTTCATAGATCTCACTGTTTATAACAACCTCGTGATACAGGTGGGATAGACAGCACCCTATTTTCAAATGAGGAAAGAGCCTGAGGGGCTCTGGGGTGGGCTCCACGTCACATGCTGGTGGATCAAGTCCCCGAGCCCGGGTCTCTCACCCCCCATTTCGTGCTGGTCCACACGTCACTGACTACACCCTGGCATGTGGCCTTCCATCGCTGGAGCCAACAGGCAAAGCTAATCTTAGTTGAGTCCCTAAGATGCTCTGGATTCCCCCCTCAATCCAGGTCAGATCTTCCTTATACCTTCCCTCCTGTTGGCCTTCTAGAGAAAAAAGTTCTCCAGACACCAGCTGCCTGATTTTTGGTCACCCTCCAAGAGAGTTTGGACAGCAAACTGATTCCCTTCCTAGGGAATACCCCTGGGTGGGCAGAGGCAGGATGACTGCAGCTCCGAAGCCCTGCAGGGACATGGTGTGGCCCAGGGCCATCCTGCACCCTGGTGCTGGGACCAGCATGCCCTCCAGCTGGCACGACGCTGCCCTCCTGACCATCAGCTTGTCTGAAACTCTGGCTTCCTCCTGGCAAACCAGCTACCTAATCACCCGACAGCTGAGAGACACCACTTCAGGGCCTCTTGGTACTTTCCCAGGAGCCAGGAGTCCCCAGACTGCTGGTTGGCCCCAATATCTGGTCACCAAACTTCTAGCTGGGCCTAGCTGGGGACTACATTTACCAATGTCCCTGGCAGTCCCTGACCAGGACGTGAAGCTCCAGCAGACAAGCAAGGGGAGGAAACGATGTGTGGGTCTTCCTGGGTAGACCTCAGAGGAACCAGCACGCAGGGACCTCAGGAGGTCCCCTTTCCCTCTGGCTACATGCAGATGACAAAGTGGGACTGGAGCAACCACACCCCAAGGGAGAGCCAAGTGACTTCAGGACGAGGCCACCCTGGTCGGCCAGACCTCGGACCTCTGGGCTGTTAAGACAGAGAAATAAACTTCTCTCTTTGAAGCCACAGGATGTTGGGTCTCAGTGCCAGCAGCTGAGTCTGTGACCTGACCAGTACCCCAGGTCCCCCAAGCCCTGTCTGCCTTCGTCCTGCCTTGCCTCCTGACTGCAGCCAGCTCCGCACCGTGCTAGACAGAGCGTGACACACGTAAAACACTATAAAACCACAAGCTTCTAAGGTGACAGCTCACGGACAAAATATCTCTGGGAGAACCTTTTGCTGTAACACTGCCCAAATCCTTCAGATCAAACCCAGCAACCTTCCTGTGGGTTAAACACATAGAAACAGGGGGAATGATGAAATGCTTTCAAATTCTGCCCTGTGTGATCATCAGACCATCCATGGGGTGCTCTACCCACAGATCTGTGTACAATGGTATTCAAACGAGGGGAAAAAATTGTAAAGCCACCTAAAGATGTAACTATCCAAGGCTGTTTAAATAAATTAGGATGCGTTCAGACAATGAGATACTATGCAGTCCTTAAAAATCAAGTTGTGAAAAAATATATATATAGCTGATGTAAAAGAAAGCAATCAATAAAATATTAGTGAAAAGATTTAAACTGTGTAATTGAATGTTGCCTTGCATAAGGGAAGTGCTCAGTGAATATTAGCTATTAAGTAGCATCTCGGGGCACCTGGGTGGCTCAGTTGGTTAAGTGTCCAACTCTTGATTTCGGCTCAGGTCTGGATCCCAGGGTTGTAAGTTGGATCCCCATGTGGCTTACAAAAAAAAAAAAAAAAAAAAAAAAAGCATCTAACACACACACAGAGCAAGAAAATACAGGAATGACGAGCATCAAAATGTTAACATTGGGCCCCTGGGTGGCTCAGCGGTTGAGCGTCTGCCTTTGGCTCATGGCATGATCCTGGGGTCCTGGGATTGGGTCACACATCAGGCTCCCTGTGGGAAGCCTGTTCCTCCCTCTGCCTGTGTCTCTGCCTCTTTCTGTTTCTTTCATGAATAAAATCTTTTTTAAAAAGTTAACATTTATTTTTGTGTGGAAGGATATCGCCATCGAATTTATTGCCTTTGTGCTTTTCTGTTTGCTGAATTTTCTGCGTCAACAAATATTACTTCTATAATGAGAAAAAAACAATAAATATTCTAGAATAAAATAGCTCCTTGATTATGCTGGCTCCTAAGTTGGGTTAAATAGGTACCCATTCAACGTGTTTTATACCAGGGATTCCTTTTACCCTCCAATTTGTGGAAAAGGAGACCTTGTCAATCTCAAAGAGAACTAGGTGTCGTTTGGAAAAGAAATGCATTATTTTCTGTGTTTATGATGATGTTTAATTTATTTTGGAAACCTCAAGAAACCAAGGAAAAGGGAGTAGGATTTTTACATTGATCAAAAATGGGGCCTCCTGGTTTAAAAAGGGTGAAAACACACTATGTTAGTGTGCAAAATTTTTTAACGTGCTGTAACATGTCAGCTGGTGTTCAAGCCAGCCAGACAGCTTAAAGGACTGGTTCATCATCAGAGAAATCAGTGATGAAATAGGGAGGAATTACCTTAAAACCCAATCAGCAGGGCAGCCTGGGTGGCTCAGCGGTTTAGCGCCACCTTTGGCCCAGGGCCTGATCCTGGAGTCCTGGGATCGAATCCCACATTAGGCTTCCTGCATGGAGCCTGCTTCTCCCTCTGCCTGTGTCTCTGCCTCTCTTTCTCTCCCTGTGTCTCTCATGGATAAATAAATTTTAAAAATCTTAAAAAAAAAAACAATCAGAAGAAAATGCTATAAATTCAGATAACAACAAAATTCAGTGTTGGGTTTGCTAATGGCGCCCAGAGTTGAAACTCAAGGTTCTGACGAGTTGTTTGTGTGGGAAACTTCTCAGAAAGCCAGAGTGATCCTCCGAATGTCTTTGTAAGACAAGCTCAGCCTTATGCTCCCCTGTCAGCGCCCCTGCGTTCCTTCTGTTGCACCTCACTGACTTCCCCACTTCCCAGAAGTAGTCAGTACTGGGAAATTGAGTTCTACTTGGTACTGACATCTGTGTGGGAGGGGTTGTTGGTTCAGTTTGGTTTTTTTGTTTTGTTTTGTTTTGTTTTTTGTTTTTTACTTTGCTTTTGCACGGTTTTCCTTCCACGACAACCACCTTATCTGTGGGAGAAGGAAGTGCCCAGGAAGAGAAGCCATTTGC